GTGACAAACGGTCTTTGAGAAGCAAATATTTCTCGGTTTTTCATTAGATTTAGGTGCAGGCGGATGGGTAGATGCTCAATATGATAAAAGCTACACGTTAATACTCGTTTACTATTAATTGATTGAAAAATAGTTAAAATAGGTAAAATTATCGGAATCTATTCGGAATTTCTTAAAATATTTATGGTCGGTTACTATTAGTAAACTATTGGTGGCTCTGTGTTATTTTATGTTCGTTTTACCACTAGTTGTTTAGGTATCATATCGTTAAACGCTATATATAGTTTGTTCAAAAAAAAACACAGAGTTGATACCTACTTGAAAGTACTATGTAGTCTTTTTTGAACAACTACCAATCAGAAATTTCGAAAATTCAATAATGAAAATTTTAGCTATATACGTATTTATCGAAAATGTGGGCTGTGTTGTATTTTATCTGTATAGATATATTTGTAAATTTAAATAAGATAAATGATAAATAAAACATAATCTGAGATAAATAACTGAATCATCGAAATAAATCCTTTAAAATTGCAATTTATGTATAATTATACACCTATATCAAATATGTACTAAATTTAATAGGCAAAATACATTAACAACTTGTTTAATAAATTAAGTAAGTAAATAAGTATGTTATATTAATTGCATAACCTTCTTTAAATGCAGATGTGTATCAAATTTGCTATCTAGTTCACTATAATTTTATTATAATATTTAGTTGTACGAACAAAACTTTTTTTTTCGGTTTTAATGAAAAGTAGTTGATTATTTTTCTTTATCTAGATAGTTAAATTCTTAAGCGCATTTCGTCTTCATCAAGATAATTATTCCAGCAATAATCTTTAATCTTAATCTAAATATTTAAAACTTTGTCTTTATACTACATTAGATGCTAGGGAGCACTAAGGAACTAAATGTTATTAGTTATTCATTTATTACTACATCGAACTGAATATCACGTATATAGCTATTTTGTAAAAATATAATTCGTTCACCAAGTAGTTACCAGTACCCAGGTAGTTTACATATTCCTTTAGGAATAGTAAGTAGTAAGTGGTTACTAGATCTAATTTTGAACTTACATGAATTAGTAAAATATTACTAATTCACTATTTGTTATATATAATTCCTTATTAGATTATTAAACATGATTATTATGAATAAGTCGACTCGTGTTAAACTTTTAGTACCTGACTAACTATACTGAAATTTATCTGGGGTAGACATTTTGATATCGGTGGGCGGAGTGGATTTAATTTTTGAAAGATTAAATTAATTAAAACAAAAAAACCTATTCTAAGCAGAGCGTTATTAATGGGTTTTCCCATATTACCAAGGTAACTAAGAAATCAACAAAAATCAAACGACAGAAATAATTTATCTCATAAAAAGTAATTTTCGGAAACAATTTTTGGTTTTTTTCATTTACTGGTTACGTTAATAATATGACATATTTTTAAAACTAATACGCGTGTTATGCATACTTAATTATACTTGGATACAAAGTATTAGCTCGCTGTTCTCTTGAAGATCCGTGCCAAATGGATGTTGATGAAATATTACCGAACTATATTAATATATCTGGACTCATTAAGATGTGCGTCAGAACTATCGCACCACCTACCTACGTATTCATCGGACGTCGTTGATTAATGGATAAAATACGAGTCTTAAATAATGTGTGTGTTTTATTATTTATACCAAGAATAAAGTGAAAAGGTATTATATATTTTAATGTATACATGATGTACAGTGTACACGCTATATGTATTTATAACAATGGAATATTTTTTTTTTATAATAAAAAAAAGAGCAGGTCCTGGAGATAGGTACCTACTAAATAAAAATTGAGTAGAAAACTCGCAAAATTATAATATCTTTAAATAGTTCAAGAATGGCTCAAAAGTTTTTAAAATTATAGAACATCTAGAAAAGGCAAACATACGTTTTTGTCGAAATTTCAAGTTTCTATGAATATTTTGACCTGAATAACAACAAACAATCAGAATTTAAAATAATAAAAATAATATTTTCGTACATTTTCCCGTTAGATTACCCAGATTTGCATCAAATATTAATAGAGATAAATTCGTTCATCTGGAGTTAAAATAAATTCTGTTGCGTAAACCTTGTTTTAAATTTTATCTCTTAATAAAAATGCCGTTTATCACGAGTTAAATTACAGGTCATTTATCGATGTATAAAAATGTATGTATGGATATATTTCGATATCAATATTTTTTTTTTATTATTGTAGTGATTATCGAAAACATTAGTTAGGTAATAATATATTAGACTTAAGATTCTGAGCGGGGCGAGGAATGTAATGGTTTTACAATAATGTTTTTTTTTCTTTCTACCACAAATTTTGTTCCAATTGTCAAGTGAAGCACCTTTTTAAAAGAAAATTTAACTGGAGTGGTACTTTAAGGAAATTATTTTTTGATTTATCCAAGGGTTTTCATAATTAATGGAAAAAACGTAGGAAAAATGGGAAAATTTACGAATTATATTATTTTCAAATCGTAAACAATACGGCCTTTTAAAACATGTGTAACCGAACTCTACTCAGACTCGTTTTTCTTTAGCAATGATAAATCGTAACCTGCAGGTATAAATTAAATTTCTCCTCTACCTTCCCAACTTCTTACTTACAACAGTGGTCCACCCGTCGTGCAAAGTACCTATGCCTGTTTGTTTTTTTATTTTAGTTCTATTCTAATTAAGTTAAATAAATATGAATAGTTCATTAGAATGATCTTCATAAGTTATATCAGATACGTTTCACAAAGAAATATTTTTAGAAATAATAATGTCAACAATATGTTTATATGCTTAATTTAGGTCCAATAAATTTACCTTTTATATTCTCTGAAATTCGCTCCTCTATCTTTATTTAGGAATATTGTTTATAGTTATTTTATTCATGGTCAACGTGTAATAAAACAAACTTATAACAGTAAAAATATGATTTTGAAAGAGAAATCAATAATGATATACCGTCATTTTATCATTGATAATTCCCTATATGATAATAATATTAACTTCTACAACTGTGTGCCGTTTATTCGATAACCAGTATACTGGTAATAACCTGAATGTAAAAAGAATTAATCAACACTTGTATTTAAACACATATTAATTTGACAGTATAAAAATAAATATTTACCAATAGATAACAACAAGTTAATTATAATCAGATATGTGTATTAAATATGCGTGTATAGTATATTATAAACAAAATATAGACTCCTAAGTTTCTTTCAGTTTAACATTTCCATTAGCTTCAAATCTGTTACTACTCTCCGTTCGAGCATATTATAATAAAAAATAATTATCATAATGAAATAAAAATATGTACTAATAAATAAACCGAAAACCAGTGAATAGAGTAGTTCCCAATAATATCAAGAAAAAATAATATTTATTATTGTGTATAGATATTGTGCAAATGATAAGTAACTGAATGTGATCTGATAGTACAACGATTATAGTGCTTCCGTAGTTATTATGGTCCGTCCGTTCGGCATTTTGTAGATAACTTACTCATAGTATTCAATGACGATGACAAGACACTTAATTGTAGAATAAGACTGTGAACCAATGTTCATAGTCATTTTTTTTTTTTTTTTAACCGATAGTAGTGGAGGATCTTTGTGAACATTACTTTACCGTCGTTTATAGAGAAATAAAAAATTCAATACATAATATGGATTTTAGGTGAAAACACTGACCGAACTAAAATCCTTTGCGTGCGCTACTGGTTATTATTATTGTCATATTTATTATTTTCAACTCAAATTACATAAAAGAGCAAGAACTTGATATGCTTTCCAATTTTCTTGCTCGTTATATGTATATACAGCAAGTAATATTGTTACATTTGTTTAGCCCAACTATGTACCAATGCCGTTCGACAACAAGAACAAACGAAACGTAACACTCTTAGCCAAACTCATTTGACGTGAAATCGTAATAATTATATAAACTAAAATACGATTTTTAATTAGGTATTATTTATAACAACCGACGTACAATTGCAATTCGTTCAAAACAGGCATGCTGATTTCGTATTTTAAGCACATTCGTGTATTTCAAATATTGTTTTGTTTTTATATTATATATTGTTATCTACAGTCAACAACATTATTTCACTAAAATTTTAACCATACGCGAATTTATAAATTAACTTAAATAAATATATTATTACGGGGCTTGTATTTCAGAAACTAATACATGCGGTATTCGACTATTCTTGTACGATAATTCGTAGGATAGTTTATGTATATTTATGGAATATAAAAGGTGATGCCATTGACTTGCCCCGGGGGTCAGACATAAACATATAAGGGAAATCTACGGAGAAAAACGGAATAAACTCGATTTAACCGAACAATGGTATATTATGTAAAAAATAATAATAATAATATCAATAACCACAAATAAAAATCCAGTATGAGCCGCATGTATATTTTTTTTGGAATACGTATTAGAAGGGGACAAAAAAAAATTGAATCATATTTGTGCATGACGAATTTATTTAAATAAAAAAAATTCCGCGTGTGTCTATATATATATATAATATATATAATTTATATATAAATATTAGGTACAAATGTACAATAAATAATACACGATGCTAATGGTAAAACCATTGTTATCGAAATAACGTTAATAATGCATAATAGTTTATAGGTACCTATTGAAAAGTTAACGGACTTTATAGGGATATTAGATTTTAATCATTTTTTTTTTATAAATATAAAGAATCAAATTTTAACAATATAATATGCGGTATCACAATATTAGAAGATAAGGTAGAGACAGTTTTAGGATAGATAATTTACCAACTATTTAAATAGCACGACTAAATTTGTGCGTTTTAGAGTTAGGTTGAAAAATCATTTACTATAATTAGATATATTTTTGTTTATTTACGAAAAAAAAAAATTCAATTAAAAACAAAACAAAAAAAAAAAAAAAACGTAAATTTTGGACATTTAAACATTAGAATTAGATTTGAGGCACTCTCTGAAAAAAGCGAATGAAAACTGTTTCTCCCAACGACTACAAAATTGACACAGAGGAGATAGCCAGTGTCTTGACCAGTGTTTTATAAAACTACATTTAAAAAATCTTGATAAAGATAAGAAACAGGTACTCGCTAAAACAATTATCTAGACGAAGATTATTAAATATAAAAAATACACTTATCTAGATAATTTATCTGGATGGAACACAACACTGGTCAAAATGTCAAAAATTAAAAACCTAGTGTACAGGAACGAATCCGGGGAACCCTAGGGGCCTAGGCACCCCTTCTTAGATATGTTTTTTTATAATTATATAGATCCTGATATTACTATATTTCAGTCACAAATATGAATGATAACATAGTATTTTATGCATATCTGTGGGCTGTGATACCAATATTGTAATTTCGTAATTACGTGTTAATTGTTGACACCACAAGAGTGCGTCATGTCGCTACCAACGTTGGTTTCAAAAAATCACAAATAGATTATTTTATAATGATACTATAATTAGAACCGTAGAGACATGGAAATTTTATTTGTGTTGTAAAAAAAATAAAATATTGTCCCCCCCCCTCAGATCTTTGCTTTGGATCCGTGCCGGAGAGGAACACGTGACGGCGCGTGGGAACACCTACATTTATCTACACACAATAAATCAAAGTTAATTTGTAAGGGTTTCAAAACTCGTTCGTTGTTCTTGTTATATTATAAATACTAAGTAATATAATAAATAAAAACAAACGAAATTATTTTATTAATAAATAAATACCTGTATTAATATGATAATAAGAAGCTGCAGAAGCGACATTATGATAATAACAATAATCAAAGCGTTAATTTCAAAATCCGTTCGTGATAATTATGTGTATTGTACAATAATTTAATTAATAACGATAAGTGAAATAATTTTATTAATACCTATTATTACTAAATGATAATTATTAATGAGAATTTGCATTAACTATAATGACGAATTCTTCAATATAATTATGTCTACAGTTTATAATATCGTTTTAGATTCTTAGTAGAGCGATAGCATCCCCGTGTAGGCGTTGGTAACCTTAAGGCAGACGGTATGATACGTAAAGATATTTTGGGGGCGTTGAGATAATCTAGAGGGCGATAGCCGATTTAAAAAAAAAAAAAAATCAAAAAATTATATACTCTTAATATTTCATATTGAAATTCCATCTTATTGGCAACAAAGGAAAAAATATGACAAATATTACTCTGAAATGAATCTTTTTCCATTGCTAATGAATCATTATCATTCATACTGTATGTAGTAAACTAAAACATCTGAAACCGTTTACTTGAAAAATAGGTATCTACCTAATTTACCTGTACCGGAGAGGCATATGAAGTAAACGTGCAGTCCATCGGAAAAACACTCAAATTGTCGATGTATCAATCCTCCCCTGTGAGTAAAATCCTCTGGAAAAAAAAAAATTAGAAAACGACACAAGATCTTAAAAACAAAACTTTTCTTTCATACTATAGGTACCTATCATTTTTTTTTTTTTTTAAGTATACATGGCAGAATCGCTTCAGAAGAAAATTAATAGAATAATTTATATTCGGGTTTAATCTTACTTTTAAACTTAGTATTTATCGAGTGTATACGTATATATAATATACCTGCTCATTTATTACTTGAAAACCAAAGTTCGATACAAATCTAATGATAATAATATTATTAAAAAGCACTTATTATTATATGTATATTTTCCTTTGAATATAAACAAATAATAGTAAATCACATAATTTACCCTAAACGTTTTAGAAACTTTAATTTGATTTCGAACTATTTTATCTTCACTCAGTGCCGGTGTTGCTGGTTAAATGCTTATGAATTATAACAATATCTAAAACAAAATAATAATAACAGCAATGAATATAATATCTTCATGGGGTACTCTGCATAAATCTAAGCATAATCAATGACTTTTTAAGTAAATATTGTCAGTTTGTTGATTGGTATTGTCATATTGTCATATTAAACTGTCACCAATTGGTATTGGATATTGTCAGGTTGTTGTCATTATGTTCATGATAACCTTGGACTGGAATGAAGTTTTTTAGATGTAATAGGGAGTACCGAAACTTATACTTTCAGACAGGTTTTAAATATGTAAATTTTTCGGTACATGCATGATGCGCAGTACAATTCATTGTTTTTTTAAGCATTTTTTAGAATTTCTTCTACAAAATTAAGTCAATTCATTTCTTATAAATAATTTTTGGAAAAAAAGTTGAAAATGCATCAATATCTAGACTTTATAGAATTTATAGCTGGACCTATAAAATATAAATTAAACATTGATTTTATGCCTACCGACTCCCAATGAAATTACTTAGTAAAATATGTTGGTCATTTTTTATACTATGGTATGTATTCTTTAATCTAAAACATTACGGCTCTTTGAAAATCATAGTTTTACAATTTTTTCAAGAAATGGGTTATTTACACGAAAAGGTTAACGACTCCCACTCTATCACCTCTCGGACACTCCATTTCAGTCAAAGGTCATTCGGTTGTTAAATTATGTGGTACCCCATATCGTAAACTCCCGGTAGAATAGACCAAATATAGGTATATACTTTATATAGGTGTATAGGTATATAGGTATATACTTTACTATTATTTTAATTTAAAAAATTATAAAATTTAAAAAGACGAATATACTTCGTACGATGGAAGAGGGGGCACTGTTGTAGGTGAGAAGTTAGAAAGGTAAAGGTGAAATTTAATTTATATCTATACGTAAAGATTAATCATTGTTAACTAAAAACGGTTCTGAGCAGAATTCGGTTGTATGTTTTAAAAAACCATAATAATTACAATTTTCATCAAAATTTTATATTAAAATTCTTATAAACAAAATTCTAAATTAAAATTAGTTTTTTTTTCTTGGCCACAAAGTACGATTATTATAACCCCCTATTAAATTGTCAAGCATTTTTGTTTAGTTTAACAATTTTGTCCACAGAGTATCTACCGAATAACAATTACGTAAAATATAGTAAAATTAAAATGTTTTAAGTATCTCAAAAATGACTAAAATTTTTTTAACATTTGATCATATCTAGGAAAATCGAATATAAGTTTTTATTTAAAGATCAAGTCCCTATGAATATTTTTAATTAAATCACAACAAAAAATAAAATTGAAAAGAATACATTTCGTAAAATTTCCCGTTTTTTCTACCTTTTTCACAATTTTTTCCAATTATTATAAAAACCACTTGGAAAATTAACAAAACGACTTGTTTAAAATACCACACAGATAAAATTTTCTTTCAGAAAAAAAAATATATTTGAAAATAGGAGCAAGATTTCTGGTAGAAAGAGATTCACAAATAAAAAATAAAAACAAAATAAAGCATCATTGTCAAACCAATGCATACAAGTTCAATATAGGTACTTACTTAATTACCAAATATCTAATGAATATAATCTTATGAAAGTATTAAAAACCCGTATTCGAAAATGAATTACTCAATTTCTACACAATTCTAGAGGGAAATAATACTATTATGTGACTCACCTCTAAGATAGATTGGAATGTAACATTTTCGTTCAACAGCCACCGTAGCCACCGCAGCCGCAACCACAGCTGCAACCACATTTACCGCTACAGCCACAACCACAACCACATTTACCGCCGCAGCCACAACCACAACCACATTTACAGCCAGAGCCACAACCACAACCACATTTACAGCCAGAGCCACAACCACAGCCACAGTCACAGAAGCTGTACTCATAGTTGAATTCACATGGTGCTGATCTCACCGATTCGATGTGTACTATTATCATCTGAAAAAAGAATATATTTTTTGAAAGCATCGACAAAAAATATGTTACACCGTTATGAAACCACAGAGAATAGCAGTGGCGTATCTTGAGCTTAATCAAGGAGGGGGTAGTTTAAAAGTTGCAATATACCATAAAAAATCGCGGGATTTCCTCGTCCCGAAAAAAAACAACAGTTATATTGGCAATCAAAAAAAAATTGTTTAAAGGTATAAACTATAGTTTATACCATAAAAAAAAAAAAAAAAAAAATGATGTGTATACAATCAAAAGCCGAAATCAGGAAAATCTCAGATTTATGAAAAATTGAAATTTGTGGACCTCACAGATGATTTTGGTCACTGCTATATAGATTTATCTACAAAATAGTCGAAATATAACGTTTTGCCCAAGTATCATAGTGGAGATTTTGCGTTTTGCCCGGGCATTTCAGAGATTTGTACGATTTTGGTGTTTACCCGTAACGGCCGTAAAATAAAATGCATTATATTTTCATATCGAACGATTATAAATAAAAATGTTTACAACAAATTTTAAAGAAATATTATTCTTTTTTTCTCTTGCGAACCAATCTATGATGTCTACTGTTAAGACATCCACATCGATATCTCTATATGTATAATAGACGAAAAATTACCCTAGTAATATCATTATCACCACTTTTTGGTAACCCTGAGAAAAATACCCCAGAAATAATAAATGAAACGGTTATGAATACTGCATTATGTAATTGTCTATAGCCTATAGCCGTGATTAAAAATTCCGAGGAGGGGGCGATCCGCCCATCGTCTCCCCTCAATTACGCCACTGGAGAATGTAGATACAGCTAACAAGTGTTGTATAATGATAAATTTTAAACTATCAATTCGGGATAATTGCTAGAGTCATATTATTTAGATAAAGATAAAAATCAGAAACTTTTTATATAGATAGCAAAAAAAGATAATTTTGTTCATTATCTATCATAAAACAAACTGCTGAAAGTACTCAGTATACCAGATTTTGTACACATTTAGATATCAAATAGGTTATATATATGTGATTGATGTGATAAAATTATTAATTTATTAAATTCTAGGTATATTAATAATAGGTACTAGCCGATTCGTTCGGCTTCACCCGAGTTACCTAACCTTTTTTTTTTTTGCGCCACCTGTTGACGCGTAGGAACTTCGTTCAAGGCCATGCCTACATTTCCGTTTGATGTTTAGTGAGTGTCTATTTAATTTCATTATAATTTGAACTCTATTTAATATATAACTCGTATTTGCCCTTTATTTATAGAAATTAATTACTTGATTGTTTATTAACTTGCAAAAGTGGAATTTAGTTTTAAACCTACTCCACGATGCACTCTATTATTATTTTTTTTTAAATCAAATCGGTCAATTCAGTATCTTTAGTAATTACCCGTGACCAAAAAAACAAAAAACAAATGTGTAACCTAGATTTCGTGTTTCAATCTCGGTCACTAACACTGTGCAGTTAACCGTTGCTGCCCTTAAATTTTTAAAAATGCATTTTCTTTAATTTTCATTTTCATTTCAAACTTATATAAATCAGTTATTTAGTTGCTAAGTAATAAAAAATACCTACACATATTTGTTTGTATCCAGCCCAAATTACTGCAGGCTAGATCTACTACTTCTACTGATCAGATCGAAAATTTCAGTAGCTTAAAATTGTCTCCAGGTATATAGGTACTATATAATTAAAAAAAAAAAAACTGCGTGATGATTAAATGATAAGTTTTGAAGATTACTCGTTAAAAAAAATAGCATTTTACATCTGTATAATATAAATAAATTACATATTTTATCTATTATTTAAACACCTTTATAAATCACGTTTTAAAAAAACAAATGTATTTATAAGTGATTCAATTAATCATCTCAGATAACTCTTATTATATTTTAATGATATTTCTCATTTATCTGGATATTTAAAAATAATACCTATCTAGATAAAACACAATACAACAGCCAACATGAGAGCTAGATTGAGATATTATAACAAGTCTTATTATACGTAAAAATATTAGTATGTCATAGTATATAGTATGTACAAATATAATCTAAATTAACGTTTTAATATTACCTTTGGTCTTACCAACATACCAGATGTCTTTGTAAAATGTCCTATTTTAAAATATAAAAACTTCATTCGGAAAATATAGATAATTTCTACTATGTACTCTGGATAAAATTCAACTTATGGGATGTTAGCGTGCTATTTGTTTTTTCTCTCTGACCTACGTACAAAATAGCAAACTTGCGATAAATAGAAGCAAAGTTGTGTTGTTGTTAGAGTAAATTAACATATTATTATCAAACTTAATATTAAGAACATTATATATAGAATGTATCTACATTCTACGTCAGTTATTTTCATTATTTTAATTAGTAAAATATGAATATGTGATATGTTAAAATGTAAAAAAACGCCTTTATCACGCATAAAAATTAAAATAACGAAAAATCAACGACCTACTAAACACGATGTTTTTAAGTTCTAAGTTTAAAAATAAATCAATTCACTCTACTTAGTCTAATACTTAAACTAAAAACACAAGTTTGGTTTTACTAAATGCAAATTTGCTATGTTGCGAGTGGGTAAAAACGGAAAAATAAATAGTGCGCTGACAATATCTTCGCAATTTCCTTAGGTGTAATTCTTTATTTTATACATTTAGCTTGAATTAAAGTTTTGTTTTTACACATAAAGAAAAGAGTTATCTTGTTAAATTTATTCAGTTTGACTTTTAACTCGTTAATGTCCAACCGTTCTATTTTGTATATCGCAATATATTTCTGTAATTATATTTGTATACAAAGACTTACCATAACCATGGTGACCAGTATAAAATTACGTGTTATCCTGTACATAATATTATTATCTTAATTCTGGTAGTTAATCACTTATAATATTACTATAATATCAGCATTGAGCGAAGTCGTGTAAATTCTAAAAACGTGTCCATCCAAGTATAGAACACGCTCGAGCCCACACGGTGTTTTATACCCAATTGTGGCTGTAGGGCGTGTAGTATTTGTGTCGTATCAATATTGACAAGGTGACTGTCAAAACTATACGGTAGGCAAGCATAGGAAATATCACACGAGTTAGTATTTCAAGAGTTCGTATTTTACTGTAGTAATAGTAATACCACTCGCTGAAAAGTGCAAAGTCCAAGGTCAAAAAATGTAGTTCAACAAATTTATAATTGTTTGACGAAAATAGTCCACATTTCGAACAAAGAGAGATTGGTTCTTTTATGATGAAGTGAGCGCGGTCAGTGATCTTCATTTGTGATAACAGACACATGAATCCATCAAAGAAATGATAATATTTTCACTTTTTGACTTATGGACGTATTTTTTTTTTCTTTATAACAAATAAATGGTTATTTGTTAAATTAAAATGCAAAGTGAACTCGTGAAACTTTGTTTCCTTATCAGTCATATGAAGGAAGATCTAACACTATCACAGTGTTTAATGCTAGGATTACCATAGGGTTTTATAATATATCTACGGACATTTATAATCATTAAATTTAAAGTATTATACGTTACAAAGATTAGATGTAATGTGATGTTTAACATTTGATCGTTGTACAGTGAGAACTACGCAAACATATTATTTATTAAAGTTAAATTTTGTTTAATTATGAAGTTTATTCAAAGAACAATGTTGTTTCTACAATATTATATAAAATATTATCTGGATATTGTATATTGTATGTCTGTATAGGTACTAATCTTAAAATGTACAATAACTAAACACCGAGAAATATTGTTCTCGCAATCAATGTGAGATCAGTACTCAATATTGCTTAAAATTCCATGTATGTGTATGTACGTCACAATCATATCATTTTTCCAAACTAAATAAGTATGTCTTTTTGAATAATAAAATAATAAAGCGAAAACAAAATTATTAAAATGGTGTTAATACGTGTAGGTATTTCTATACCGGGTGATCCATTTAAGTGGGTACACTCATTATCTCGGAAAGTGTTAACATTTTTTCGGAATTTGATTTCTAAAAAATTTAAAAAAACAAACAGCTCTACAATTTTATATTTATGTTATTTTTTGTTATTTTTGGGGGTAAAACCGCTACCTACTTTTGATTTTCAAACAGCAACCTATGTTTAAAATCATATAAATATATGGAATATTCGTTAAAATAAATTTTTAGTGGTGACATTTTTGATTTCCATCGATCCGTTGACGAGGTTTCACTTTCGAGTTTGTGTTGGAGTAGTGGAGAGTAGTGGAGTATCATATGTGTAGTGGTACAGCGTGTTAATAACGCACCACTAATTTTCTCCAATCGAAACTTAAAATTGGAATATCTGCTTGTTTTTTAAATTTTCTAGAAAAAAATTTCGGAAAAAGTTAATGCTTTCCTAGATAATGAGTGTACCCACTTAAATTGATCACCTGCTATATACATTTTTTATTTATACATTTATTTACTGTCTTTTTGAAATTTACAACTTACGAATCCTATCCTAATAATATTATAAATGTAAAAGTTTATTTGGATGGATGTCGGTTGCTCTTTCACGTTGAACTTATTAAGCTGCAACTTTGCCTATATGTCATTCTAGACAGGAATAACAATAAACTACTTTTTCCACTGAATTCTATCCCTAAAGGTGGCTGATGTAGGTTCATAGTTATTTTTGGTATGAAAATTGTTTATGAATTGTTAATGAATTGTTTATGTATTCCCTTGGTACTACGGATAAAATTTAAAAAAAAAAATAAAAATAAATAATTATATAATAACGTAGTCTGTGTAAGGGCCGTGATAATTGTTTGAAAATTCCCACAAAGAACCGTAGTTACTAATTACTATAGTGACTGGTTACTTAGTTCATCATTGGATTTCTTGTATGCAATATTATGCTTTATTCTGTTTTTAAGTCCAATTTGTTTAATTACACGATATGACAAAGAAAATATAATAAACTTAACCATAACAACCTTCAAACGTCAACAATTTTTTAGAAACATGATACTACTCTGTATAGCCCAACTGCAAATTTTGTTCGACCATAATAACAATTATTTTTTGATGTAATCTATTTTTTAATTATATGCAATTACAGAATCGCCCGATAAATAATAATACAATTTTATATAGAAGTTTACTATCGTTTTTGATCCAAGTAAATGTTTATATAGGTGTAGTTTTTGGTTGTCACTCAAAGTTCAATGCAGCCATAATAATTATTTAAACGTATTTATTTGTGTATATTTTACTTTAGAAATTTATTTAACACTCATAATAATATAGGTTACGTTAGTGTAGGTAAACTCTAACTTATTTGTTTTTTGATGTATCATCTTCACGCGGTTCCCATTATTGACGATGAAATGTTTTTGAACATTGAATTATAAATACATCTAAAATGAAATAACAGCATAAAAAGTATATTTTTAAAAAAATAAAACAACAATATATACTTATCGTAATACACTAAAACGTACACCTGCATATAACGAATATCTTAGCTTTTAACAGACAAATTTCAATGTATTTCAACCCATCTGTAACGAATTCTTTCTACTCATATAAAAGATATGGAAAGCAATGTACCTCCCCGTTTGCATGATAACGGTAAAAAATGTTTAAAGTAAAACTAAAGACGAAAGCTCGAAAGTAAATTTTACAATAGAACGTAAATTAATGCAAATTTTATCAAAGATTTTTACCGTAAATTTGTTTTACCATTTTTAAAATCGGGTGACTTCTCTTTTTAAAAGGTTTAACAAGACAAATATTTTATTTTATTATTTTATTTAATTAGTTTTCAGCCGATGCATTCTGTATTAGATGAATTTCATGAAAATTGGTGATTTGTCATTATGTCATATATTGGTGAAACAGTTTTTAACTGTTTTTTTTTAATTCCATTAACTTTATGAAGTTTTTGAAATAACATATTAAAGTTTAAAACTTTATAAATCTAGGAATTATTTATCTGGAAACAGTATTTGTTTTTTATAGTTATGTTAAGTTGTTTTAGTTATTCCAAAGTCTAAAAATGAATCGAATTATTTTATTTCAAAATTCGAACCCAGGACCTCCAGGTATAATAATAGGTATGTATAACCATTCAGATACAACTAACAAACTATAGTGATGACAACATTTAGTTGCTTAAAATAACATATAATATCCGCATAATACCAGAAATTCAAAAAGTTATAATTTCGAAACTTAGTCAGCCCACTTAATTTTGACTATTCCATCGTTCTGAAATCGTCAATATACATATGTGAAAAAAAAAATGAAAAATATGATTTGTTCCGCATAATTTTTTACTCAACGATTCGACTCAAATTTTAAGTCTTTTCATTTAAAAATGGCCTCTTAAAAGTCCCATCTGGACACAATACTCTTTCAAAAATGGAGCCGTGTGTATATATCTGAGCAAGGTTTCTAATCGAATTTGTGTACACAGTATAAAAAAAAAATCCTAATAAAACCAATACATTCTACGCTATGCTCAGAATCTAAAAAAATGTTTAAATATTAAAAGCATTATTGCGATTCGAAACAGTATTAAATAGAATAAAAGAAAAGAAAATACTATGGCATACCATAAAAGTTAGAAGAGCTAAAATGATAGGACATCTACTACGCCATGAGAGTCTATCGAAAACCGTCATAGAAGGCGACGTTGAAGGCCATATAGGAAGAGGAAGACCAAGGATGGAGTACATGAAGCAAATCATAATTGACATGGGAAAGAATAGCTATAAGGAACTAAAGAAATTAAGTAACGATAGGATCGCATGGAGAACTGCAGCAAACCAATCTAAGGATTGAAGACTGAAAGAAGAAGTATCGCACTCATAAGGTTTAGAAAAAATAATATATAATCGTAAACTAGTACAATACAATAACAATAATCATAAACTATAAAATATAATAACGTATAGGCTATTGCACTACTTCAAATACTCACTGAGCAATAAGATTTGAAGTTATTGAATTGGATTATTCAGGTTCATTAGAATCAATGGCATTATCTTTATTTATTTTTTGCTTATTAAAGAAATTACTAATGTTTCTTTTAGACGTATTTTTTGACAACAATTAAATAAGTTCAATGTGTTGAAACACAATTTGGTATACCTACGTTAGAATTAATTTAAATCAAATCGGTTTAACTAAATGAACTAGACTATAATAGCATATTTGTTTTGGTTTTTTTATTGTATTTATCTATGTGTCTCAGAGCTTCTTGTTTAAATATCTTATTTTTAAATGTTTATAGGAAAATTCAATACATATACTATAATATACAATTTACAAACGTGTCGCAACTATCTTAAATTATTGAAAATTGATCACGGATTTTAATTTAAGTATTTGGTTTCTCAAAAGATTTGAAAAAAACAAAAAAAATAAATCAAAGAATCATCAACTGTGTTTCAAACATTGACATTTCTGAATATAGTCAATAAATAGGTATTTCAGATTTCTTTAATTTAAAACAATAATAAATACAAACCATTGTAATATGATAAAAAACAAAATAAAAATAATAACAATAATGAAACTTCGATAGATATTAATCTAACTAATTAAAATACAAAATATATTGCAAAGAAATTTAAACAAGTATTCGAAATGAATACAAATAAATACTTATTAAATATGATCTTATAGAAGCAGTTAAATCATTTTAATTATTTGTATAGGTACTTTGTAAATCTGGAGAAGAAAAATATAATTATACGATGTTACCCACCTTTGCAGTAGATTAAACGGTATCTATAGTTTTCCTTTAACTACGTGTTTTTCCTATTATGGCAGCAACATCTTCCGTGTGGTGACGATTTAACAGATTCGATGTACACCACCATAATCTAAAATAATAAAATGTCACCGTACCGAGAAAATAAATTGCGCATCGTTATGAACCATTATAGAATTTAGACACAGCTAATATACGAGTTTTGAATGGAATCTAAAACGGGTCCTATGTTAAAATGTTATATCGAGTATATTACAGTACATTCGAGCAACTGTTTTTAAAAAAATAATAAAAATAATATATATATACTTTTTTTTTAACTTAAAAGTAAATGATAGCGAACAATTTTAATAGAATCGGAAGCAAAATTCCAAAGTGTGTAAATTTTTATCTTTTAATGGCTAAGATTTGACTATAACCTAATCCATTTGCGATGTTTAAAACAATTAAGCTAGAATAAAATTTATCCACAACCACCCGTCCAATTATAATTTTTATAACTTATTTGAATTCTATGGTTCCTTAGATTTTATATGTTTGTAGGATATCATTTTAGTTTTTTTATTAAGTTAATTTAGTTAAAGTATGTACTAAGACCTTTTATTTCTTGATATAAATTTGTTCTTTTAAAAATTCGTTTATGCGTTTATATTATGACAACATCTTATTTAAATTTTTATACTACATTTAACGTGCTCAATGGTAAAACGATAATGAAATAACAGTATTATGGTAAAATAAGAGTAATCTTTTTATGATAATAATGGCAAATAAATAAATAAATTTTAAATTGACTACTGACATTTAAGGAAACAAATATCGAATAAAAAATCCGAACAAGATATTGAACAAGAGTTTTATAAATGATAAACTATATACGAGAAAATCATGGGGTGCCTTACGCCATACATGAAGATAGATTTTTGTTAACACTTTCGAGTATTGTTTATTTTTGAGTTTTTTTTATAAGCATGATATTATAATTTTTTAGTCATATATGGTGAAAAATATTTTTCTACCAGCTTTGAAAAAATCAAAAATCTTACCTGAAATAATTTATATTGGAATACATACGATCAAAAGTTTTACATGGCTAATAAATATTATACTTTAAGAATATTCAAATTAATTTTTTTATGATTAGGTACAAATAGTTAGTTACTATTTGAAGTACATACTTACCACGGCAATGGCGATCACAATCCATTTGCGTGTATTCCTGATCATCTCGATCTGTTCATCAACCACATATAAAGTTATTAAAATATCAGTAAATGGGAGTTGATTGTAAACAAATGTTAATCTCAATATGGATCATACCTAAGCTCACACGATGATTTATACCCAGTCGTGGCTATATGACATACATCATATTGTGTGTCGCATCAAAGAGCAATGCCAATATTGACAAGCTGGCTGTCATTACTTTGTAGCTACGTTAGGTAAGCATAGGAAATGTCATACTGGTTAATATTTTGAAAGGTCAAATTGTTTTATAGTAACACCCCGTACCGTAGCGAATAGATCCAAGAACAAAAAAATTGGGTAAACAAATTTATAATTTTTCCGCTGAAATAATTCACATACCAAGACTAGATCAGTTTGTTTTTTTATTGTGCGTGGGAGTTTCGTGCAGTTTTTTTCCCGTTAAAAATAAAATCAAAAAACCACAGAAGAAATGGAAACATTTTTTTTCTTTTAAATTCGATAAACAATAATGCAAAACAGATCTAGGAATATTTTCGATTAAATTCCAGCATGAGTTCCGTGTAACAGAACCATGATAATATTATTACTTTATCAATACAAATGTTATTGCACTTTTTATTAATATTATATACGTAGTTGTAGGTAACTATTTCATGTTTTATTCTATCTATCTCGAGAGTTTTGTCTATAGTTATTATTAATTATCATTATTTATTGATTGAAAAGAACTGATCAACGTATTAAAAATATAGTTCAATTTATCTAATAAATATTAACATACTTTTCAGGACTGAAATATAAAACATATTTATAATAATACAAAAAATTGAACATTATGACTTACCTATGACAAATGAGGATGAGAGGTAAACTTTTTTATAATCAATAACATTTAATTTTAAAATGATCACGTGATCTCTCAGAAGTAAAGATGGCCTCTGCTGAATGCCTCTACTCATTATTCTAAATTCCTAGACAAACGTGAATATTTTAAGTTATGTTCTATGATGTTTGCGTACGGAGAGAGAAATGAGTTCGTCTCAATATTTAGGGTAGTACTAGGTTAACCCTAAGGTTTTATATGAACGTGCAGTAAAGTACTTTGGAAATTGTTATGTAAGGAATGATGGTAAATATGTAAAATGTTAAAAATCGCATAACTGCAAAATCACACAGATATCTATAATTTATTTGAGTTAACCCAAAAAAGAGTTATTTCTACAATATTATATTACATACCTATAGACTGTAAAATAATTTAAAAAATCTTAAAATTTACAATTAAATTGTTTACTCCTTACGAATTCCTGGCGCAATTTGTTATTGATATTGTATGCATTAAATGTGTGATTTTGGCCTAGGTGTAAAATATTTTATAGTGGTTTTTTTGTTATCAAATCGTGAAACACAAAACTAGGAAAAAATGTTTCGTTTTCTGCTATGGTAACTATTATATGGTTTATTAAATATTTAATTATCTAACTTATAAATAATTGTATACCTAAACGAAAATCAAGAATCATGTGTAAATGGAGAATATGTATTTGTACCTCAACAAACATGACGTGTATGTGTGTATGAATTATGATAATATCTAAAAAAAAAATAACAATATTAATGTTTTTACAAAATTAAATAGACAAATCAAATCATAATAATCATATTTTATTATAGTGAATTTCTAAATCAATGATCAGTAATATTTTAAAAAGGTTTCTCGAACCGGAACATACGAATATACAATTTTCATTATCTTATTTAAATATAATTGGCATATGTTAAAAATGTTGAAATGATAGATTCTAATGCCGGGTCGCATTAACGAACAATGATTTAGAAAACTAGTTAGTTAACATAATATTAGACGGGGTGGTTTTTTTAAGCATATTCACCACCCAGTGTCTTTCAATACATTTAAAAGTTCGAAAAATTAGAATTTGAATGTACGCATAATTTAACCGTACAAATGAGGTGAGCGTATTAAAAGATCACTCTGTATAATATCAATAAACCGTTGGATACATAACTTTGTTTTGCCCATAAAGTCTAATGACTAATCTGGAATAGAATAATTGTATTTTAATGCGGCACACCTCTGCAATGAATAACAATATTGAAAGACATATTTTTCTTTTATCGGCAGCAGCATTTTTGGGGTTTTGTGTTTTTCAACCACACGGGGCCGATTTTACCAATTCAATGTACACCATCATAGTCTGAAGAAAGAAAATATTACATCACTACGTCGAGAAACAAAATGTCACGCGCCATTAAGAAACCACATAGAATATGGATAAATCCAACATACGAGTTTTGATCGGTATTTAAAACGAAACCTAATGTTATGCAAATATTATATCGAGTTAATTTATGTACAGTTTGACGTATTCTTATTATTTAATACTGTCTGTATGCCCGTCATACAATATAAACATGACGAGCTATACGTTTACGACGAGTAGGTACAATACAAAAATAACACCTGCTTAAAAATATTTATTTTTGTGTAGTTACATTTTGCATTTTACATTTTACATACTTTGGAAATTCAATTGTACACGAATAATATAAATGATATCAGTATAGATATACTTAACATTTTCTTATTCGTTTTATAACGGTATTGAAAGAGAAACTATTATTGTTTAGAGAAAAAAAATTACATTTTTTTTTTTTTTTTTTTAGTTCTTTTGTCTTCACACGGTTCCAATGGTGCCGATTAAATGAATATGCATATTATAATAACATCTAAAACAAAATAACAATGTCATTTTACTAAAGTGATCATATAAATAGACAAAAATAAAATAATAATATGCTAATTGTAGAGGACCGTTTGTTCATAAAACTACCACTGTAAATTATAATTCGAAAAACAATGATCGATGTTGAATATATAAGGATTACTATTATTATATTATTTTTTATAAAAACGTTTACTATTACTCAAATGCTCTGTAAGTTTGAAGTAGATTAATGATATTATAATGTGACCTACCTCTGCAGTAGACTCTGGATCGTATATTTTTCTCTCAGCAGCAGCCACAACCCTTACTCTTTTTACGGCCACATCCACATGGTGCCGATTTCACCGATTCGATATACGTCATCATTATCTGAAGAAAGAAAATAATAATTATGTTTACAGTTGAAAGATAAAAATGCAGGTTATTACAAAACTGCATAATCACATTAAACACAGCTAACATACAAGTTTCGTTCAGGATCTAAAACAAGTCTTATTTTATAAGATTGTCTTGAGTAACTACTTCGAAAAACAAGAATATGTAAGTAATTAGGGTGCATGCCGTTTTTATTTTTTGTTATGGTTCATTTGATTAAGATTTTGTTTAAATATATAACTTTCAATCCAATAGTTCTGCGAAAATACATTTCGCGAAAACGGTTGAAACTCTAAATTTTTGTATCTGGTCTATATAATGTACATTTTACATACTAGTGAAATCGCCAATATTAATAAGTAAAAACCTCATTCAGAAATTTTAAATTATTGTATTTCAGAGAGCGTCTGACTTAATTTACATAGGTATAGGTTATATTTATTATAAATTTAGATTGAATTAAAATTTGTTTTACAAATAAAAGAACTATAGCGATAAGTAACTGAACCTATTCATAATACAACCTTAAAAGTCGTTAATTTCTAGCCTTGTTTTTTTGTATAGCACACTATAATACTGTGATTTAAATTATGAACTTACCACAGCCACGATGATCAGCATCCATTTCCGTCCGGTACTGATCATATTGATCATATTCGTCGACTGCATATTATTTTATTTTATCAGTAAAACGAAGACGGGTGAATTATATAAACGTGTGCGTTCAAGTATAGAACATATCCGTGATTTTATACCCGATTGTGGCCGTATGGTGTGCACCATGTTTGTTGTATCAACGTGCCATACCAATATTTAACAGATGGCTGTCAAAACTATATGGTAGAGTACAGAAATGTCACGTTAATTAGAATTTTGAGATATGGACATTTATCTTTCAAGGGCAAAAAACTTAGGTAAACAAATTTATAATTTTACACCGAAATATTTTTCGATGATGTGCTCGGACTTCACAGTTCTTCCTCCGTGATAACAAAAAATCAAAAATACATAGAAGAAGTATAAAGGTGCCTTCTGTTTTAATCCTTTTACCCGACAAAGATTGCATAATATGATTACCGTTTACCATAAGGTTTTATTTGTCTACAAGTGTAACCATATTATTCATTCAATTTATTGTATTATACTTTGTGGCGCTTAGGTGTTGAATAACTATCAATATACGGGGTGATCAATCTATCATAAGACAATCATTATCTCAGAAAATATTAATTTTTTCCGGAATTTATTTTCTAGAACATTTAAGAAACAAGCTGCTATACAATTTTATATTTAAGTTATTTCTTGTCACCCTTATTTTTGGAAGTGAATACCTATTTTTGATTTTTAAATGGTAACCTGTATTCAAAATTCCATAAATAAATGGAGAATTATTTAAAATAAATTTAAGTATTGAAATTTTTTATTTCAGTCAATCTATTGACAAGATATTCCACTTTAAAATTTGGGTTGGAGGAGAATAGTGAATTATCATTTGTATGGCGGCACGGCGCGCGGCGTGCACCACCACTATCCCCTAACCAAAACATAAAAGTGGTACTCAACAAATAAATTTATATAAAAAAACTCGCAAAATTAAAATATCTATAAATAACTTAAAAATGGCTCAAATAAAATAATTTTTATCAGTTTTGTTCACTAGCTAAATAAACTACACAAATAAATAATAATAAAAAACCGACTTTCTCGGTCACCAACTAGATTAAAAATTCAATAAAAAGGTCTTTTGTTAATTTTCTAGTGGAGCAGTATTTCTTGTAGAAAACCTAGTTTGTGAAAACTTAAAACGGTTAAATCAGTAACACCGCTGTGCGCCGTAAATAATTGACCTTTTACCTGTAATTTTCTTCCTGGTTTTTGCTAATTATTTTGAAAATCTGTTTGAAAATCAAAAAATTATCTCTTCAATACACCAACTAGATAAAATTGTCTTTCATAGGAGCTGCTAAACTTGATATACCG